TAACATTAGGAGCAATCAATGAATAATCTATACCATTGCATTTATTTAAAAGTAACAAGCATATATATCACTTTTTTTTTATAAATGTTGCCGCAGAAAATGCATCAGTCACTATTTATTGTATCTAATTATGTTAATTATGATATCTATATTCAACACACTTTTACCATCTAAATCTAAAATTATAACTATTAAGAGATAAATTTAATATTATTATTGCAGATGTAATTACAAGTTCTCATATTATTTCAATACTTTTAAGTTTTGCATTTGTATCCAAGATTCAACAAAAATTCTTTGTTTTGTACAGTTAAGAATGTTTTGTCATAAAATGGAAAATTCGCTTGAAGAAAGGAGATTAGAGCGAAAACGAAGACAACGATCAGACGTCTCTCAGGATAAGATACAGGCACCTTGAGCTGATAAATAAAAATATTCAAGGTTATCGCAGAAATGTCGTGAAGCAATAAGAGCACAAGCCAGAAGATGTGAGGCTCAGAGCGAACTAAGACAGAAGAGCTTTAATCAGAGGAGAGCAAACCTGTAAGACAAGGAAGTAAAAATGAAAGAGAGAAAGAAGCTAATGCAAGAAGAGATGCTATGAGAGAGTGTGTAGCTGAAAGGATTGAAAATGAAACAGAGAAAGAAAGAGGAAAATATCTGAGAATGCGAATGGAAGAACGTCTTTGACAAGAAACTGAAGAGCAACGCAACAGAAGAAGGAATGGGAATACTGGCGCCAAGAGAAATGCACAAAACAGATTTCATGGAGTAAATAACCTTCTTTTCAGTGAAGCCAATTATGAACAACATAAATGCGGCGGAGAAAAAAAAGAATCCATCATTTTTGACGGGACGCTTACACTAGTTATAAATAATGGTAAAGTAATTTTCTCTTGAATTTCACTTCGTGTAGCGGAAGCAATCGATAGTAAAATATCTGCCGAATACTGTTTTCTTGGGCTGATCTTTATGGAGTTTGCTTGCAATACCATCCTTGTGTCATATTGATGTCAGTAGAATCAGTAAAAAACATTTCGCAAATATGAATTTCAACCTACAAATCGGAAAGTTGTATTTAACACTAGTAAAAATCCCCCTCACAAATATAAAAATATATGGTTAAATGCATGCACTTCTCTTTTCACCCTATAAACACACCACACGCGGGCGCGCTCACACACACACACACACACACACACACACACACACACACGTGTGTGTGTGTGAATTGATTGCTCCATCTTTACAGTTGATCGCCATCCCGCGCATCAACATCTCTCCTGCTTCGCGACGGCCATTTTTGAATGGTTACGAAGGTGACGCTTCAAACCAGCAGCCGACTTGCATTGCTTGAAACATAGATGACAGATAAACTCAAGCGTCTTCCTTGGAATCTGTTCCCTGTATACCATCATGTGTTACTTTAATCCAGACGTAGATATGCATACATTGATGTAAATCACTCAAACTGTATCACTTGGTCGTGAAGCTGGGACTGCATGAAAAGATTGTCTATCATGTGATTCCAGATGGTTAATGTATCCAACTTTATACAATAGAATACGATCACATCTCTCACATTTTCAGCTCACAATGTTAGCATCCGAGCTCTTCACAACGTCTATCCGTAGACCCCATCTCAAGTGCATCATGTACCAAGCTCCTTATTTCTTATTTAAGTGACGACAATAAATTGTCCATACCGCTGATGAGTATTGCAGGTTAGACAATACAAACGCAGTGCGCGCATATGATGTTTATTGTTTTCATTAAGAATTTCTTAAGTATTTTTGATTTATTTTATGACGTAAAATGATTTGAATTTGTTTTTCTTAAAAGGCGTATGTTTATTTGAATTTATTCGGAAATTAGAATGTGCCTTTGAGATGAGTTATTAGTGTAGTGAATTATTTTCGTTTCCGATAGGATATGTAACAGATTTTCTACTAACGGGTTTTACTATTTATTTCTTCTCTATGTTCCGTACCCCCCCCCTCGGTCAGGATGTAGGCGATCATGACTCTTTACAATTTCCTGACATTTTTCGCTCTAAATTTTGCCTTTTTGTTATTTCTCCCAAACTTTGCCTCGCCGTCCATTTCCTTAAGTTCACACTATTATGCATTGTTTTCCTCTGTCCCTTCAATCTGTCCTGTGACTATCGGATTTTCCAAGCCCTCCTTCCTCATTATGTGCCCAAGGAATTTCAACGGTATTTTTGCTTCCATCTTGTCCAAAATTTCGTCTTTGCTCACATGTTTGACCCATGGTATTCTGATCATCCTTCTGTAGAACCACATTTCTATTTCTTCAAGTCTCTTCTTCATCTTAGGAGATTATTCAGCATTCATTGCCATATAGGAGGATAGACATCTCGTAACAGTTCAGTATTCTTTGCTTTGTTTCTTATTAATCTGCATAGCTTTTGGAATTTACCTTTGGCTATCCTAATATTCCTTTGAAATTTCAGTGTCGCACTTTCCGTCCACTATTAAAACACTTCCCAGATATTTACATTTTTGTACTTGTTTGATTTTGGTATCTTCGATTTTTAATTTGCATTTTAGCCTCACCGTTTTGCTAACAACCATGCATTCTGTCTCCTTGCAGTTCCTTTCTTATCACTTTCCTCTACTACCTTCTGCAGGAATTCTTGTAGTTTCATTTTCCGTGTCTGCTATCAACAGTGGGTTTTATGCATATCTTATGTTAACATTGTGGCTGTCAATAATGAATCTGGGTAGGACTTCTAATACTCTCAGAATCGCCTCGCTATAAAGGTTGAATAAATCTCTTAAGAAGATACATCCTTATCTGACATATTCTATTTTTCTATATCTGCTGAACTCATTTCCTATCTCTATGCAGAAGTTTTACTGCCAGTATAGGTTCTGGATTATTCTAATATTCTCCCCAATATCTGAAGATTATATATATTTGACATATCTAAATATTTGTTTTTGTTATATTAGTTTCTAAAATTTGGCTTATAATTTATCATGTAATTATTAATATGGTTTCAGATAAATAAGCAGGTGTCTGATTTTATTATAATTTGCCAAGGAATTCATTATTTTTATTTAAATTGTTTTTATTTATTTTTAAAAACGTAGTAATATTATATAAAGTGTGTGTGTGCAGAAAGAGAGGACTGAAGGAATCAACACTGCATCTTTGTCTAGATGAAAAAATAGCGCCACTCCTCTTTTTAAAGATAAATTACTAAACAAAAGATAAGAGCTCATTTGCAAATGCAGACTTGGAAACACATTCCGACCACATAGCTAGCTACAGCACATCATGAATAAAACGACGAAATAAAATCCAAGTAACATAAACTGATTTTATTTCAAATATCTAATACATACAACCAATGAAAAAATATGAAAAACAAATGAAATAATATTATTTTAGTCTGAAGTTCTTTTGAACGTTAAAATGAGTTATGAATAATTTTTTCTATCATGTCATTCAGCTACCCAGCATTCAATAGTAGTACATAATTTCGCCTATCGTCCGGTTCACACTCATACCCGGTCTTTTGAACAAAAGTAGAGGTTTATCACTCGTTTCCTGTTTAGGGGTAGGTTTCTGGTTCTTGCATCTTAGCGACATTATTGCCTTGCTTGGGGTGAATTGATTAAAAGAGAAGCAGCCTATTATATATAAAATATTTTAAACACACATTTATATATATATATATATATATATATATATATATATATATATATATATATATATATATATATATATATATATATATAAATATAAATTACACACAGTGTGTTTACATATACTTTAGAAGAATGGACTTATAAATAAATAAGTTTGTCTTTCTTTCTGTGTATGTAGATGTTTGCATGAAGATGTTCATGAATGCATAAATTGATATTTGTAATGTATGGAATCTTTTGTAAAATGTTTCTTAAAGTTACAGGGAATGGCAAAAAATTATTACAAATGTTAAGTTTTTGAACTGTTAAAATAGAAGAACGTAAAGTTCAAATCCTCTCTCTCTCTCTCTCTCTCTTTCTCATGATGTCTTTTTTGTAAGAAAATCAGGTACATTTTACCATAAAGTTTAATTCAGTTACATTTATGGAAAGTACTCGCCAGAAACAATAAATGAATAGGGAGAAAAAAATTCTTTGTTTAGTTTCATGTCGACATTCCAAAACTTTTATTCCAATTTCAATAGACAATATTAACTCGATTTCTTTCCAAACAAAAACAAGCGTTAAAATTACATAAATTCTCCTGCTGTGATGGAATAGAGTACAACAATGCAGATGTATGTGCATATATCGAATTATATAGATGTGTATATGTGCATGATCTGCTATGTGAGCATATATATATATATATATATATATATATATATATGAATGCGTGTGTGTTTTACATGTATGCATAGTTTTTTTTTCAAAAGAAAGCGTTCAATGGTTAACCACAAAGACAATCCGCACAAAGGATTTCTCGATAACATGTTGAACATACATATTTGAACAAATTCAAAAAAACTATAACATGTCAAACAAGTGCAACCGGTGATAAACAAAAACAAATATTTTATGAAGATGTTTAATAACCTAGATGTGTGTAATTGTGCTATTCTGGTAAATATCTTTCTTTATTTAACTACTTATTCAAATGACAAACCTTTTCTAGGAAAAAGCAGCTGCATTCATTCATTCAGTGTTGAGATATTTAGTTAAACATTCCAGTCATAATGCCAAGTCATTAATGTTTGTATTGCTAAGTGTCGAAATGAAATGAAAAAACTATAATTAGGGCGCCAACACATCTATCTGGATCAACAATATGGCGATACGTAATGTTAGGGGCTTACTGCCATATGAGGTTGAAAAATCTCGTACGAGCACTGAAGTTAAGCAACGTCGAACGTGGTCAGTTCGAGCCTGGTCAGTACCTAGATAAGTGACCGCTTCGCAATACCAGATGTTGTAAGTTTGAATGTGCGGATAGTGTAATGGGTTTACAGCAATATCACGTTGAAAAAAACGGTTTTCGTACGATCACTGAAGTTAAGCAACGTTGAGCGTGGTCAGTACCTAGATGAGTGACCGTTTGGGAATAAGGTTAGATGTGCGGGTGGTGTAATTGATAACGGCTTGAAATCGGAGAGCCAAGTTCCGATTCCAGTCGTTATATTCACTTACTCGCAAATACCCTTGAGGAAACTATGAATCCGTCACTCCCCACCCCACAACTATCGGGAAATTACTAAGACTTGTACCACTAAAATCATTATTATCTCCCCAAAATTCTTATAATATAAAAATATTTCCTGGCGTTAAATTATCCGTAAAAGGTTGATAAGTTGTAAAAACAAATCAATCAATCAATTTAATGCTAAGCTTCAACAATGGTACAAGGTCATAATTAAAAGAAAAAAATCCACAAAGATGCAAGAGCATTAAATAAAATGGAAAGAAAAACAGAGGCCAACAGGATTCAATGAGACAGATGATGATGATTGATGTTGCATTTAAATTGTTGAAGATCGTAGATGACAAGAAAGGAGAAAACCGGAAGAGAGTTCGACTAGGGAGAAATATAATTTCTAAAGTATTAATGGATTTATTTTTAAACGATACATTACTGATAATTTGAAAAAAAAAAAAAGAGAAAGAAAGAAGAGTCTATTTCAAATATAAGTATCCACTATAATAACGTTTGAGGTAATATATATAAAAATGGATTTATTTATTTATGGATTTATTTATTATTTTAAATATTATTTTTTTAGTAGAAACCAGTTTTTGAAATAGACGGCCAATTTTCAGTTTAAACTGTTTTACGTCTATTGCTCCGTGCACTCGAGAAATCATATTAAAGAAAATAAGAAAATGTGCTATCCGGCAGGGTTCAAACCCGCGTTGCCTTCTTTACTAGAAACATGTTTGATTCGGCGTGTTTTAAATGTAATACACATTGCTTAAAATAAAAATGTGACTTCTATTTCAAACACGTGTAAGCAATATATATATATGTACATATATGTATAACATATATAAAATGTGTATATTTATATATGTATATATATTTATAATATATATAAAAGAACTTAAAAGAAAATTATTAATATACATGCAGATACACAGATGAAATATATTCATTCTTTTTAATTAAATTCGTTGGTATCTTTCTTTGTTTTTATATGTTTATGCGTGAAAGTCAGGTTAAAAAATAACCCGAGGCATTATATTACATTTTTTGAAAAATAAAGTTTTCCATTTTGTTTTGTTTTTCTAACTTACATACAGAACAGATAAGAAATAAAAAAAAACAAAAGAAAAAAACAAACAAAAAAAAAAAAAAAAAACACTGTTTACATAGAAGCACTAAATTCAGTGATTGCTTATTCTTTCTCTTTTATCAGTACTTTTTAATAGATACGTGTGGATTATGCTCGTTAAATCTGTCAGGTAGTCTGTGAAATCGTCATAGTTTTTTTTTTCTCAAAGTATATCTACATCGCTCTTATGGAAGTTCTCATGAAGTTTCTATAATGTCTTAAATGTCATTTGTTTTAAACTTATCTAGGGAAATATGCGATTTATTTTTCTATCTAAGTTCAACCTGATACTTATCATAGCATCGTGGAATACGCACAGAAATAGTAACATTTGTCAAACCGAAAATTGAAATAATTCACTTTCACTGAATAGTACACCTAACTGAAATAACTGTGAGTTCTGGAATTTATTTCTGTTACCCCGTGAATGTTAATTCGTAAAAATGCAACGAAATTTGTATTTTATAGAGGCTCGAAAAATAACTGTCGCAAATCAACGATTGAACTGATCGGTGGTTAAACTAAGTTCTACTTGATAGTAATTGTTAAATTCCAAGCATGAAGTTGCTTGGATTTCGTTGAAGCACAAAACGGTCTATGTCCATCAATAAAGTTCTATATCTTCAGCTTGGAGCAATAAGCTCGTTTTTTGTTACACAAGTTTCATATTCTAGTAAGAAGTGAAGATTTAAATTTTTTACTGTAATTGGGAAATTTGATGGCATCGTAGCTTTTACTAGAAATTTCCTAATTACAGTAAAAAATCTATGTATTCCTATCACTGTAGATTATGTGATATTTATATATACATTAATATTATTAAGAGTTTTTTATAAGTAAATTTTCGATGCCTAAAAAGAATATCAAATAATGCAGATATTTACAGTTAATAAAACCGACGTCTGTTACAATTTATGGTCGAGTAAGTCCACTTGCTGACGTGCAAACTTTCTTGCATAGAGTACAAGCGAAATCAGGTTGAACATCAAATATTTGTGTTGATCTGGTGACGTGTGTGACTAATCAATCCAGCCTCTAAAAGGCATATTTTCTTTATGTACCACGCCCTTTCAGGAAATAAGCGATTATGACTCTCCACAACTTCCTATCTCGTGTGACACTTAGCAGTTTTTCTGCCTTTGATCCTCCCATTTTACTATTCATTCATACAAGATTGTCAGTTAAGTTACTCGTTTGCCTTCCCTTATCTCTCCTATCCTCAATATGTCCCATCAACGATAGGTTTTCCAAGTCCTCTTTCCTTATTACTGTCCTTTGAATTTTTTAGTATTTTTCTATATAATCATATTTCTGTTGCTTTTAGTTTTTTCCTCATCCAACATCTAAGAGTTTGGATATCACATAGTAATCCAGGATTCTTTTAATTTTTTCTAACGAAATATTTTTAAGCACCTTGCTTAGTTTTCGGAATTCTTCTTTCGTGAGTTCAATGCGTGTTCGGATTTCGATATCGCATTTTCCATTCTCTATGAACAACGCTTCCCAGATATTTAAACCTCTGCACCTCTCCAATTTATAACTCAACTGTTTTTTTTTCTCTCTTACTGATGACAATAATTTCTGCCTTCTTGTAGTTAATGGTTAGTCCTTTTTTCTCTCTTTCTTCTATTAGTCTGTCTAGGACGTCCTGTAATTTCCTTTCCGAATCGTTCATCAACACAGTGTCTATCTAGACACTGTGTTGATGACTGCGTATCTTATATCATTAAAATTACGTCCAGCGATAATAACTCCTGGTAGGGTCTCCAGGACAGCGTCGCTGTAGAGGTTGAATAAATCTGGTGGTGGTGGTGGAGTGAAAGCATCCTTGTCTCAAACCCCTTTCTATTTTTGCATAGCTACTCAATTTATTTTATATCTGTATGCAGGCCTTTTGCTCCAAGCATATACTATGGATTATTCTGACATCTTTTCCAAATAGATCTATTTTTCCTAGCAATTCAAATAGATTATTGTGTCGTACCTTGACCTTATGTCATACCTTGACATGCTCGAATTCTGCACAGGTGAGTCTATTTAGTATCTTTTCTTGAGAGGAGGCTTGCTTTCTACATGCAACGTGAAAAATAATGGACGCAATGGAAAGACCTATGAACCTGACAGAAATTAATCGTCTTATATACGCAGCCTCGGAAAAGGTTGTAGAGGCAATACATGAAAAAGTAAAAACACAACGTAAACGAAAAAGAAAAATGCCAGTTTGGAAAGAAAAAATATAAACCGAAATAAATAAACTAAAGAGAACAATTGTCACTTTTAAGTGAAGTAGACAGGGGCTTCAAAATGAAAGAAAGGAAATCTGAAACGAAGCGTTGATAAAAAGAATAAGATTAACGTACCAAAAGAGAAATTCGAGCGAAAGCAGAGAGAATCAGGCGTTATGAAAAATGAAAGATCTTTAAAGCAGATACCAAGGAACTATATCGAGAATTGTGAAGAAAATAAAAGAGACATAAATGACCCACCCAATATCCAGGAAGTCAAAGAATCCTGGTGTAAGATGTTGAAAAACTGCAAAATTCACAATAAAAGAATCATGGGTCAAGAAACAACAGGAGCAACACACATGTGTAAAGTGTCAAAAATGTTCGGGTATCAATATTACAGAAACAATCACTGCCATCTGCAAAACCAAAACTGGAAAGCAACAGGAATAGACCGAACAGCCAATTATTGGATTAAAAAACCTATCCAGCACCCAGAAAGACGTCGCACGATCATATAATGATATAATCAACCAAGAAAAATGCCCCAAATGGCTCACGTGGGGAGTAATATACCTATTCCTCAAAACAAGATCCAGAACCGAAAGTACTATAGACCCATCACCTGCCTACCAACAATGTACAAGATCCTTACTTCTATCATAACCGAGAGGACATACAACTTCATTGACAAAAACAATTTACTCTCAGCAGAAGAGAAGGAATGTAAAAGAGGAAGTTACGGATGCAAGGACCAACTAATTATCAATAAAACAATATTGGAAAAGGTGAAAACAAGGAAAAATAATTTTATCGATATCATGGATCGACTTCAGCAAGGCGTTCGACAGTGTACCACACTCAGGGATAATGAGCCTAAAAATATACAGAGTATGCCCCCCCCCACAACGGTCAAATTCATAACGAAGAGCATGAAAAAAGACTACACTAAACCTAACCCATAGAAATGGGTCATTAACATCGAGACCAATCAACATCAAAAGCAGGATCTTCCATGGAGATCCATTGTCACCAGTACTATTTTTCCATTGCATTAGCACTACTCAGCTGTCTACTGAACAACAGTAGCTATGGATACAAGCCCCAGAATGGCAAACCTATTCTATATTGATGATCTTAAAACGTTTGCCAAGGAAGAGAATCAACAGAAAAACAGGCTTACCTTCAAAACCTTCAGTGAAGACATTAGAAAGGAGTTCGGAATCGACAAATGTGCCAAATCCATCTTCAAAGGCGGTAAACTAACGAAAACTACAGATTTAGACATTGTTAACAACATGATTAAGCAACTAGACCAAAGTGGTATATACAAATACTTAGGAATCAATGAAGAAGACGGAATACAACATTTAATTATGAAGAAAAAGCTCGGAAAAGTATATCATAGGAGAATGGGCTTGATATTAGAAAGTGAACTAAATAAGCTGAATGCTGTCAACTCCTTAAAATTAAATGGAAGTTGAATGACATTAAAAGATTGGATGCCAAGACCCAAAAAATGTTTACCCAAATGAGGATGTACCTTTAGAAA